AAAAAAACCGAATCACTTATTTAAACTCAACCCCACTATCCTCATTATTATCAATATAATAAAATAATATCACTCAATCATTCGTACACATTACATCAACTTAATTCACTATCATCTACTCACATAATTTTAACTAACCATCACTTCACATCATCTCTCTCCTACTTTTACAACAAATCAACTTTAATTATGTTATATTAAATATTATTTTAATATAAACTCAAAATCCGAGTAACAACATACCATACCACCTTTTTCGAAATTAACCAAACAAGATAAAAAATTCTTATATCGAAGCATCCCCTAAAATTTGTGTCATTTGCATTCGCTCTAATAAGATCACTCCCACAGTGCCACAATAATCTCATGCTAGGGACACTTGAAATTCACTATGAAACCTTCAGTTTGAAAAAATGAAAATTCATCAATCAAACAGTGAGTCCAAAGGCTTTCTAAGCCACCTAGCAGGATACAAAAAACCTCTGTAGACACCTCATTTAGTATGAATCAACCTGAAACTGCATATATTTTTCAGTCCACAAGTTCAGTGACTAAATAATTCCTCCTAATTCCTTAGCCCAAGAAGGCAATTATCTTTAATCCTAAGCTCTAATAAAATGGATGTTTTAGCAGATACAATAACCTTATTCTTCAATATTATTCAAACGCTTAATGGAGAAAGTAACTACCGCTACATTTAATAAAAGTCAATATGCAGAAGTGTACCTCATTCTTAAAGCTATCGTATACGACGGCAAGAATCAAATTGGTGACAAAGTAAACGCCCAATAGCACATACAGAACAAAGAATAGGCAATACCAACGTGAGGCCCTACAAAGATAAAGAGGACCAACATAAGTAATACTAGAGGTAATTAGTAGGATAACTGGAATCCAAATTCTGTTTATCGATTATAATATCACCATTTTCTTCAGTATGCAAGGACAACAAGGGATTACAAACAAGCATATACACACAGAGGGGGCACCTCAATATTCATTCCTCAGCGCTACTTACTTGTATGCAGGAATCCAGACATCCGGATTGTTGGACGTGGTGAATAAAACAAACATCTGGTATAATGTTTCACCATATGAAGTGAATAGTGTCCTTCCCTGTACAGTATCTTCAAAGATAACATATGCCAACCAGCTCGAGAACAGAAGAAATAATAGCCACAAAGCCTGCATTGGGCCAAATCACGAGAATGAAAAGTACAACAGAAATTATTATCTAAGTAATTTTAAGTTACTCAGAGATATTTTAAATGGAACATTTTATTTTTATTTTTTTTTTTTAAGAAAACGCACCAGGACATTCAGGTAAGTGCCAAGCATTCCAGCAAGGATGATGATGCTATCTCGTATATCCCTACAGTCATTAAAGTAATGTTGTATCTCATCATAAGTAGACTCATAGTTACAATAATTGGATGCACAAGATATTTAAAGTAGTGTGTTTCTTTCGCACAAAGCGATGATCATGATCTTCCAACATCTTGGTCTTGGCGAAAGTTTAATGAGACAATTAATTGTTATGGGTTATCTTCTTCCAACTCGGTCCCATCCAGAAAAAATATATGGTCATCTGATATAGCATTTTCATCAATTTTGTTGACCAATGTCTAATTTCCTCATTCTATCTCAATCAGATAAACACCAACCTGGTGATATTAATTTTTTGACTTCCAGTTAAGGTTGTCCTAAGTGCACGCTACCAGGTAATTTTACGTCATGTGGGCATGATATATTGATCGAGAGACAAAACTATATCATAGGGGATCTTGAATGATTATATAAGTCAGCTCAACAGCCTATTTATATTAACCATGTTATTTTGTGTAATGTCCAGCAAACAAACACGACGAGAAGTGTTCGACTTAGAATACTTAATACTTCAGCCCCACCATAGTTCCTGAAGTCGCCACCTAGTCAGATTGGTGTTCTACTCTATTCCTCCCTTTAAACAAACACATAGGAATTCATTCTTATACTGCAAAACCATGGGAACCCAGCAAGAACCACCATCTACTTTTTATTTACTGCCTTTGAGATGATGCAGTTAGAAGAAATGACAATAAAGACCTAGTCCTCAATGGAAATTCCAAATCTTAGACGAAAAGATCATAACAAACTGCAAAACTGGAAACGCAGAGATATTAAGGGGCAATATAAGGAAGATAAAACTGTATCTATAAGGCTGTTCAAACACAAGCACATAAACATCTACGCTAAAAGAATTCTCAACAATCAAGGCATAATAAAGACTGGATACTATATACGAGTACACCAAATGAAAGGTGAATTGCAACATTACCTGATGTTAAGAACAAAAAACACAACTCGGATATAAGGTGCAATCCGGAATGGAAGAGTATAGAAAGCCACGGGAGAAACATATATAGCATAGACTGAGAGATCCAAAGCCAATACTATCAACAAAAGCACCTGCAAATGAAATAGATGGAAAGAGTTAATAGGGAAAGTATCAAGTGTAAAACTTCTTACAGCAATAATTATTAACAAAAAGAATTAAGATTTAAGAATTTCTGGTATTTCCCAGAACTGCATATGCGAGATGGGAACCGGAACATATCAGCTCCCAAGTACCCAAATTTTTCTGAACGTAACAAGAAACGGGGGTGGGAGGTTGGGGTCCAACGGACCATTTTTTCTGAGCGTAACACATGTAAAAAGGCTGTTTCCAAAATTTCATCTTCAGGACTAGGTTGTTTTATAGGGTTAGGGAGTTTTAGAGGATGATTGGATATAATTTTTTGTTTTGTTTGGATTTTTTGTTTGGTTTGGTTAGTTTTGAAAAAGTTGGTATAATTATTTGTTAGTGGATATATTAAAATAATATTTAAAATAAAATGATTAAAGTTGATTTGATATAAAGTAGGAAAGAGAATATTTGAATTGATGGTTAGTTAAAATTATGTGAGTGGATGAATAGTGAATTAAGGTGATGTTGTGTGTAAGAATGATTGATTGATATTATTTAATTATATTGATAATATTGATGATAGTGGGGTTGAGTTAAAGTTGAGTTAAAAAAGTGGTTGAGTTAAAAATGTTTGGGTTTTTTTGAGAAATTTTTGTATCCAATCATGCTCTTAGGGATCAGCTTGCACTGATGTATAGCAAGAGAGGAGAGAGAGAAAGGTGAAATAGTATGTTGAGTCAGAACTGAACAAAAGTAAGGATGGAAATTATAATAAAAATTGTTATATTTATCTTTAATTAGCTATTGGTAGAATTTAATGATCTTCTGGTGTATACGATTAATTAAGCCAGAGAACTGCAAGGTTAGAGTATTATCTTAGAGCTACTATTGTTTCACGAGAAATTGGCTTTAAATCTGGGCGGGAAGTTCATCTATGGATAGATCTGTTTCTATTTGTTTCTACTATTTATTACTAATATTTGTTTCTTTTGCATTTTCCGTCCTCAACTCCATCGGATGTATATTATGGGCACAGGAGCAGTTAACCACCTTCCAAAGGTCAACATAAAAGCAATGGGGTGCCATATAAGGTAATAGGAGTGGAAAATGACTACATAATTATACCCAATAACATAATCAATAACGCAAAGTGACGTGTGTTCTTTTTCATCCTAGCAAAGGAATTTCTGTGAAAGCAAGATAAGAAAAATAAACAGCAAAAAAGGGTATTGCTAATAATGCACCTTAAGTCTATTAAGATAACTCTTCCAGTAAATACTGCACCCTTCGTATGTAATTGGAAAGAGTATGTGGAAAACGAGAATCAGAATAGATACTGCCTGCAAAGATATAGAAAGGGTAGGTCCGGTAAGAAATAGAAAGGTCATTCTATTAGAAAATCTATTTGCTTTGAAATAAAGGACAAGCAAAAAAGACATGCATGACAAATTAGGTCATAAGATTAGGAGCTGACCCTATGCTGGAATATAAACAGAATTTTTTTATCCTTATATTCATAGTATTAGTAATGCATGGATTCCTTGAGATTTTGGAAACACTTTACCGGGCAAAATTTAATTGAAGTTACATAAAATCCTCACATATACCAAACAAGTAACTGAAACTATGCTTGATAAGAAATAAAAAAGCAATTCCAAAGCTGAGACGAAAGAAGTTTGAAAAGGAGAATATAGGAGACTACAATAGCCAGATGGTACAGAAAATTTGCCATCAGAGTGTGGTTTTCACTTTATCAAGTCCTTCACATACAGTGAGATGGAGGTGTACTCAGTTTACCATACTATTCAGAACAATGAAACACACAGGATATTCAAACGACAATTCAGTCTCAAGATTACCTCATAAATTAGACTCTCGGTACCAGTCAAATACGGCAGCTCCCCTAGGTAGTAGTATCCCCTGTCACTACATTCCTCACCACACCATAGAGGTTTCTGATGATCCAAAATAATCGTTTATACATCAGGGAAAATACTTTACAGCCATCTATATATGAAGGAAAAAGTTAAAGAGGATAGTTGAACTTCAAAGCTACGAACCTCCAAGAAATTCAGAAGTATCAGAGCGAAGTAGTTAAGGGACCAAAGGATGTCAAACTGTATAAATACTAAGTATGAATTTAAGGAGCTTTCATAAGTTGACTGATCAAGTATCTCTTCGGGTATCCCGATTCCATCTTCAGCCTGCAGTGAAAGTATTTAGAATTGTCACATAGTCAGAGGAAGATAAAGTTTCAAATTTAACAAAATAAAAACACTAACGAATTGAATTGATGGCTCCACTCGATCTATAACTTGCAGGTCATGAAGCCTTAATAACTTCAAAGCTCAACTACACAACACACTAGTTGCCTCTAATCCATCATTTCAATTAACAAAGCAAGGCTTCACATGATTTAGAGAGTAAAAACAAAGGTGGGTTTAATTTAAAACAAGCTAAGAATTGTGAGATGTCATGAGATGGAAAATGTCGTCTAAGTACACCTTTACATACTATCATTATGGATTATAGTATTAAAACATTTTATTTTTTGAAAACATGAAATTCAATGTCACTCAAAGAAACGTGATTTCAATTTTCTTGTTGCCGTCCTCCTCACAATTCACTCACTCCACACAACTCAGAACATTGTGCCGCATGGCCCGAATGGGTTATACAGAGTTGGCACGTACATGACAAAGTATTACACAGGATAAGGAAAGCATAATTTGTTTCTCTCTACCGATAACTCCATATTGAAGAAAGAATTCTGAAACCAAGGGGCCCCAAAAATCATCCTTACAGTCATTTAAGGAAAACCAGAACTATCAAAAAAAGAACACACGACATCTCTCGGGATTTTGGCTCTTGACAAAAGAAGGTACACCACTTTATTAACTTTCAGAAATCAGAATACCCTATTAAGATTAACTCATGTCATACCAAAGAGAACTCCCTCCACACCACCACTCCAACAAACCCCTCACCCATAATAAAATGGAAATAAATA